AAAAAGTTTCCTTTTTGGGGTGTGATGTAGTGTACAGAAGAATGGAGAAAAAGAAAGATTGGTTGGTTAGTTTGGAAGGGAAGCTCTCCAAAGTTTTGTATGGGCCTTTAATTCCATAGTAGAAGTTTGCTACGATGACTTATGGAGGTGTGTGTTTTAGACAGAGGCAAATTGAGCACAGCATCCAATAATGGAGTTCAATATCAATGATGAACAAATTAGATGTAGATTCCATTCTTATTTGGTGTTTTGTTTCTTGAGAATATCACTATGAAACTACGAAACTGTCGCTTTCATGTCCCGACCCGTCCCGTCTCTTTCTTTACTGTGAGGGGGAGGGGGCGTGAGACAAGCTTATACTATTCATATAAGCACGCATGAAAGACAAAAACATAGTAAAATCAATTTCAGTCATCTTGCTTCTGACAAAGTTTCAAATTTACTGTTGTTTAGTCTAACTTTAAAGTTTGCAATTTAAGCAAGTACGGTAATTTATGCATGCAGTCTAAAACGAACACTAATTTCATTAAATTCATGAATGATCCATGACTCCATTTTTGAAAGAAGAAGAAACAACGTAATGGATGAGATATAAGAAAATTCTATATAAAAATAATAATTGTAACCCCTGGTAGAATCAGCCGTCCTTAGCGAGTTACACGTGGCTATAAATGATTGGGTGACTTTGCACTTTATTACTTCAAATCGTGTATATATAAATAATGCGCCATTTTCGTGGGGTTGTGGAGGAAAGCCCTAGCTCAGTTTGAGTTTTCTGTTAAGACATCGTTTCAGTTGGGCGATCGGAACCATTGTATGAACTAGCTTCATCTTCATAATATTGTAATTGTCTCTGGAAGGTGAAGATTAAGCACTGACGGATGGGTCAGATTCAGTACTCTGAGAAGTACTTCGACGACATTCACGAGTATAGGTATTATCGTATTCTTACTCTCTCTCAGTTTCCAACTCTTTAGTTTCTTGCTGTCTTGGATGATTGTTGGAATTGTTTAATTCTTTGTCTTCAATGGCTAACTGGTGATTGAAAAATTGATGCAGGCATGTGGTGCTCCCACCCGACGTGGCAAAGTTGCTTCCGAAGAATCGCCTGCTCTCTGAAGTAAGCAATTTGGTCTTTGTAATTTTGAATTTATGCATTTTAAGAATCGCCTCCTATCCTCGGATTGTTTCGGAAGCAAATTAATTTCAATAGTTGGATTCTTAAATCAGATTTAGGTATCGCTACTCTCTATTTTGTATGTCGACAATGAAAAATAGATGTATTACATTGAGACTCTGTAAGAAATTGTTATTATGCTGTGGATGGTTTTTCCTCTTCTTTCTAGTCTTAGTTTTCATATGATCTTGATATTCTCTCTTTGATTTGGCTGATGGTTGTGTGAAAGTTGAAACGGTGTTTATGAATATTTCGCATTAGACTAGACCCCTCCTAGCTTGCCAATTGTGCATTCCCTCTATCTGTTTGAGTACTCATTGAATGAAAGCGCATTGTTATACTCTTAGCCCTTTAATCCTTTGTGCAGAATGAGTGGCGTGCACTTGGAGTTCAGCAGAGTCGTGGATGGGTGCACTATGCTATTCATCGTCCCGAGCCACATATCATGCTATTCAGGAGGCCCCTGAACTACCAACAGCAGCAGGAGAACCTCGCTCAACAGAATATGCTTGCTGCTAAATGACTGTTTCATTTTATTGATGATGTGAAATGAGAAAGAAAGCAGAGTCAATATTCAGTCATATAAATGGTTCTAAAATGAAAAATCGTCCACAATTTTCTGGTTTCTGTGGTCAATCCTCTTGCTTAAAAAAACTGCTGGAGTTTCTATGTTTACCTTGAACTCTGTATATACAAGCTTCTGTATCTTTGCTGCACTCTGCAATTTTATGGATTTAGAACCAAAGTGGGGTATGATGAATCTTGATCCTTAACTTTCTGTGCAGAGGTGAATTATTTATAAGTTTCATCTTTGAGTAACTTATCAATTTAATGGTTTTTAGAACGAAAGATGGGTTGTTTTATGAGGTTACATTATTTCCTCGTTTTTGCGACATCCAGGCTTGAGAATTTGTACCACTTCAGCGAACTGCTTGCATATCAGAACTTGTGGAGGATCAGACCCCATGATTTCTTTTGCAGCTATCATTTGGAAGGTGAAAAGGTGTAAATTTTGATTTAAATGGATCTCAACTGGCTGAATGTTGAAAAGGTTAGATCTCTTCCAATTCTTGATTTAGTATGCTTTCTCAATTTACTTGCTGCATCTCCGTTGGTTCTTTTCCTCGTCTTCATCTCAAAGAGGATATTCAATGCATTGAAAAATGTTAGAGCCATTCATTGGTCATAATCGAAATACAATTATACAATACAATACAAACCCATACTTCTAAGCCTACCATTGGGTGCATAATCGAAATACATCATACAGGGAAAAACACTGACAAGAAGACTATGGCACATAACGCTGTTTCAAATTGGAAAAGAAACTGTAAGAGAATACTTCGGTTAGTAATGTAAACATCTTCAGAAGTCTGCAAGTCTAAGTTGCTTCTGTAATAACGCAGCCCTTCTTGCCTTAAGCTCTGCCTCTTCAATATGCAACAAAACCCACTTCTCATTCATATCCCTCAAACTCTTCTCCTCCATTCCCCTCAGCCCTTCTCTCCACACCCCATTTCCTGGAAACCGCCGAGAAAATTCACTCAAAAGAACGGGAAAGTTGTTCAGATCAACCCCCTTTGTGCTTGAGACTGACCTTTGTTTGATTCTCCGTGGAATTGCCCTTAAAATCGCCTGTGGTTTTGTTCTGGGTGTGGGGGGTTTTCCCCAGATGCTGCGGCCGATCTCGAGAATTCGACGGTGGTGGGGAGTTTTGATTAAGGACTTGGTCCTTGCGAGTTTATGGTACTGGAGTTTGAGCCTGTGGAGCTTATCGGCGATGTGGGAGTAGGTGAATTTTGGGCGGAGAGCGGTCTCGATGCGGTCCAAGGCCGGAGAGTCGAGAATGGGCTGAGAATTGCTGGTGGGGTTTGCGGATCTGGCGATTTGGAGGTAGCAATTCAGGAGATTGAGTTCATCTTCTTCGGAGAAATGGGATAGGGTTTCGGGAGAGGCGTTGGACGGTGGGAAACGGCGAGGCGTTGACATGGGGGGATGCCCTGTGGGAATTGGGATGAGATTGTGGGCCTTCGTTTGGTTTGTTTGGGCAGTTCTGGTGAGAGCGTTGGATTAGGGCGGGGGTCAGTGTGCTCTGATTTCTCTATATCGGGCGGGGACTCGTTTTTAATTGGATAAGGGAAAGAAACTTTCCCGCCCCAATCCCACCCATAAATTCACTAAAGTGATCCGACGATGAGGAAGAGCCTGCATTATCATGTGAAGGTAAACTATTGAACAATAATTTTTTAAATCATAATTGATGGCATTTTAATTTATTGTTAAGAAGATAAGATAATGGTTCATTTTTTTGGGTTCAATCGATCCCTTTAGTATTTTTAAATTAGGTATATTTCTTCCAAATTTTGTTGAAATCATGGAATTTGAACATTTCCCTCACCAATGTCGAAAAATATCGATTGTGATTTAGTTTTTTCACGCCCATGTATCAAATGGCTAAACTAGAGTTTCTAAATTAGAGTTTCAATTTTAAACCCATGCTTTTGGCTCTTTTTCCTCGAAATTTGAGTTGAAATACTTGAATATTGACATTTCCCACAACAATGTGGAACTATATCGACCGTGACTCGATTTTTTATCGCTCGTGCTATGATTGACTGATTTTGTGTTTCCAAATTAGAATTTCGATTTTAAAATTTACGTGAAATTTAGGTCAAAATCATAGAATGTGAATTAAAAAATATTTTTACTATGGTAATATGAATCGAAGATAAGATATACATCACAAATATATTATTTTTAAAAAAATTAGGATACATACACATAGGAAGACCCACCCATTGATAACAAATGTCTGACACGTATTGGATATCTTATAAATTAAATTTTCAATTTTTTTTTTTTTTCATTTGAGTGAGTCTAGAGTTTTAAAATAAAATAAAATAAAATAATTATGAAATAAGTCTTAAATTATTAACTATTTTTCGTAGTGAAAAGAAAAATTAACATTTTTTATTTCGAGAATGAAGTAATTGGGGGATTTCATTTCCACGCCTTCAAGGCTGAATCCGCAGATCAACGAATTCCTCATCAGGTCCCTCGTCTGCTCTTTGAAGAAGCTCCTCTTCAGCTCAATCGTCATCACTCTCGATTCCAAATCCATCGGTACGGTCAGCTTCTTCTCTTTTTCAGCTAGGGTTTTGTTCTTTACTGTACTGTTTTGCTCAAGAATCTTGCCGACGCCGATGGAGAGTCATTTCCTTTCTTTTCGTAATCCAAATTCGTTTTAGAATGCATTTCTGCAGATTTGTTCAACTATCTTATATTTCTCATGTTTCGCGCTTCCTAAGATGGTGTTTTTCTTTCAATTAGTTTCTATGAACATTTTTTTTACTGATTCTAATGGTTTTTTGGTTCCATGCCTAGACTTTGCACCTTCTTAGTTTATGAATTTCATTATCAATTGTGGACGGAGTGGGAAAATATCAGTAATTTGCGTTTGCATTTCGTGCTAATTAAGGGAATAAAGTGCTGCGTGGTTCTTCAACATTTGTTCTTTTGTGTCTGTATCTGTGTATGTGTACATGGAGATGGAGGCTGAAGTTTCTCAGTTTTGAGAGATTAGCTTCCAAAGTGTTATGATTTGCTCGTACTTGTGGATTTTTGTCACTTTCATAATTACAGAAGTTTTCATTTCACATTTCGTGTTATGTAGATAACTATGGAATCTGATGATTGTGATATTGTCCTTGTTTTGTTGTTCAATATAGCTGTTTTCATAAGGTTCTCAAAGTCAGTCAGAATATCTGATATATTTGTTTCCATCAAACATATTGTCGGCGAAAAATTTGGAAGATGTTCTTATCAATTGAGCATTGTTCACTGTATAGAGTTGGTATAGCATATCTAACATTTTGTTGAGCCTTGATTTGATTTCTGTTGAGCATTTCCTTCCATTCGTCAATTCAAGGTGGTTGGTGCTTTCTTGTAAGACAACTTTGTAGCTTAAGTTTACAGAATATCAATTGCTGTCGGCCTCACAGTTCTGGCTCTAAAATGTTCCTCTTCTTTTCCTTGCTGTTTTGGTTCTTGTGTTTTGTTCTCTCCCTTTCCTTTTGGCTGATGATGTGCACATGAAGCCTTCTTGTTGCACTTTTTAGAACCAAAAGATCCGTCATTTGACTAAAACTAAAAAAAGGAAGCAATCTGTCATATTTGCCAACTAGTTTCTGCCCTGCTTACATCCAAACTGTAGACACATATTCCTATTAGAATTACTTGAAATTTTACCATATTGGATTTCTTTTTGGTATAATGTTCACTCATTTTATAGGTGTTTGTATTCAGATCACTTGTAGAAAATCCGATGACACGACAGAATATTATCGTTGCCACTGGGTTGATAGCCTTTGCATCTGCTGGATTAGCCTTTCCCTTTTACATGGCGTAAGTAAATGAACTCATGGCTGGTACTGACAATTTTATGCATTTGAACGAATGAATGAGTGAATCTGCACGAGTTAATGTGAAAAGGATTGATCATTCAGGTCTTCCAAAAAGCCAGTTATAGATCCGGCAAAGCCACTTCCACCGCAGGCCACTTTTCGAGGTCCTTATATAAACACTGGTTCCCGGGATGTCGGACCCGACCATCAAACTTACACCAAGAAGTGATTTATCTTCAATGTTCCTAATGTGCCCTGTAAGTTGAATGTGTTGGTTCATTTTAAAGTAGAAGAAGACCACGTTAATTCTTTTTTTCTTTTTTTTTTCCCCCCCTCTTATGGAGAAACCAGCAGTTCACTTGACATAGAAATGGAGGATTAAAATATTGAGGTCCATATCGATAATAGAATTTCAATTTTACAAATTTGTAAATATAAATATCATTATCGACGAATATTTCTGTATATTACATTATAAATTTTGTTATTTTTTTTACTGATTCAGCTTTACAGGTCCAATTGACTTTCTTATGGATGCCTACTATGTTGTGATGTTATGTGGTGGCATCATAGTTGGGAATGCATAATGTGAGGTCATGGGCAGTCTTTCTTTGATTGCCGAATGATAACCATCAATACAAATGAGAAAAGGATAGGGAGAGATTTGAATGGCAATAATTTTATAACAAACATTACTTAAGGTAATGGTTCGGAAATCTGTCTCAATTTTTTGGGTCATTGCATTTCGATACAAGTACGATGGTCATGTTTGAATTAAAATCATCGCCGCAATACGCCCTCGACAATATCCATGTTTTGTTGAATGTTGGTGTGTATGGGAAAACTCTTTTCTTAGGTTTCATCATCTTTTCCAGGCATCTTGACCAAGGAATGCATGGGTTTATACTTGTTTAAATCATTTTTATGGTAAATATATCAACACAAACACACTATTTTTTATAAATGTTTATTAAGTGAATAATAAATTAACTTTTCAAGATTCAAATATCCACGCCCTATTGGAAATTATGTTAGATGCTATTTTAAGCTTCTTCACTCCTGGAAAGTAAATGAAGGAAAAATGTCGGTTACTATTTTTAGGAATAAAAAAAGCTATAAATCTGTTGCTGCCCAGGATCGAACTGGGGACCTTTAGTGTGTAAGACTAACGTGATAACCACTACACCACAGCAACTTTAATATGGTAAATACTTAATTATCTAACTAGTTAAATATGTTATGATACGTTGGTACTTGTAGTATTTATATACTTAACTTTTTTCGTTGTAGTCCTTCAACTTTTGAAAATTCACTATTTTAATAAAAAAAAAATATTGTAATAATATAAATTTATAGCTACAATATATAATATATATATATATAGAGAGAGAGAGAGACCAAAAAATTAAAATTAAAAAATAATGTTTAAACGTAACAAGATGGGGAGGTTGACGTGTAAGCTTAGACTAAAAAAATTGACAAGAAATCTAGAATTAACAAATATGCACTTTTGAAAATTAGCAAAATAAATAAATAAAAAATTAATAATAATAAAGAAAAAGGGTAGGGCTTATTGTCTTGGCTTTTGCCAGAACATGCCCAAATTGGAACCAAAGTAAAGACTCAGCCGGCAAAGCATAGCAGTTGTCGGTCGGATTGTACCCATTTGCTTTTACCCACTTCTCTGTCCTGTCTCTTTATTTTACACCCCAATCCCCATTATACCCTTCCCATTTCCCACCTCTCAACTGTCCACGTGTCATCTTCTCATTTAATGTTGCCTCTTTATGCCTACTTTAAACTAACCTAATGTTTTCCCCTACATAAATTATGTCAACTCATATGATGTCTTAAATAGTGAAGTTACTTTATGTGCTGTAAAATCTATAGTACACTAAGCTTGATGCAACATGCCAATAATCATCAACCCAAGCAATTCATTCATTTTTAATAAATCCTAAACTTTTACCTTTTTCTCCAATCCTACCACGTTCACGTTCACGTTCACGTTCGTTCCATAATAATTGAGTATTGACTTTGAATAAAGTGTTGTTCAATGCAACACAGCGGTAAGTGTGTGAAGGTATATATTAAAACTATACTTATGAATCTCATCTTCCGTTTTTTGAAGTATGTCAGTGGTTTCTTCTTTGGTGAGATGAATAAAAAGATGATAGTAAATAACACCTTCACGTCTACTAGGAAAATGTTTTCATACCCTTATAAAGAATGTTTCGTTCCATTCTTTAACCAATTTGAGATCTCATAGTCTGCTCTTTTTGGGGCCTAGCGTGACACTCGTTTCCCTTTCTAATCGATATGGGATCTCACAATCCACACTCTTTCAGGGTCCAGCGTCCTAGCTGACACTTGTGTTCCTCTCTCCAATCGATGTGGGATCTCACATACCGTGTATATATATATATATATATATATATATATCAAAGTTTAGGAGGAATAGTGCCCCAATGTTCAAGAAGTAGACACGTGGCGACACACAATCCAACCAGAAGGGGGGAAAAGGAAAAAGGAAATAGAAGGTGGGCCCAAAAGGAATGGACCTGAGAGAAGGCCCACTTATCCAAGGCAAGCCCAAATGCTGGTGGTAACAGTTTGAGAGTATCTTTATAGGGAATAACGACGGGAGTGGGCCCCACAGAAGACACAGAAAGGGAGCAGTGGGACCCACCCCATCCCAATGTTAGTTAAAAAGTAGCTTCTAAAATAAGGGATAATACAGTTGGTCACTTACACTTAGGTGAACTGTTAGGCTAAGAACTAAAGCTGAGCTGTACTATTCTTTTCTTCTTTTTTTTTTTCCTTTTAAAAAATTCCCAACCTAGAGAGAGAAAGTGACAGGTGGATCCACTTGGCATAGCTTAGTTACCAACTCAGCCTGCCATCCATGTATTTCTTGTCATTTAATACGACACACAAAAATATTAAAAAAAATAAAAAAAAAGGAGAGAGAAAACCTATCCAATGGAGGCTTTACATGTGGCGGTGGAGCTGCCAAACCCTACCCATCACACTTCTAATTTCTTACTTTTTTTCTATTTTTTTCATTAATGGGTTTTTCTAATTTACTTTAATTTCCCATAAAAATTCAATCTTTTTTAATAAATTGAAGAGAAAAGGGTAACCCAAAAATCACCCACTTTCCATGAATGACGAAATGGTAACCAAATATGAACACCAAAAAACCAACAATTTCATTATAGCTTCAAAGAATAGTTTAATCACTATTAAGTAATTAAAACAAAACATTAATAATCCAATATTGTAATTTCTTCAATAATGGCAATCCACCAAAGTTGGTGCTGCGAATACAATTGTTTGTGGGGTTGCCGTAAATTGAAACTTCGTCTCCCGGAGATCCTCCTCCGGCGCCGGTAAATTCAGATCCAATTCTAGAATGTTCCTTCGCTTAATCTCCCCTGAAGAATTATGGTGGTTTTGTTGTTGTGCCGTCGTCACCGCCGCCGTGGCTCTGTGCCTTCTCATGTGCCCTCCCAACGCTTGTCCTGAACTGAATTCCAACCCACAAATAGAACACTCATGAACTTTTCCTCCCTTTTGGACTTGAAAGTTCGGTACGGCGGCGGCGGCGGCGGCGGCGATTGGAACCATCTTGTTGAATTCTGCCTCTTCTCGTTCCTCCACCGCCATGGCGGTGGCAGCGGAGACGATCGGCGGCGACGGCTTAGGCTTCTTATGACTGGCACGGTGACCGCCGAGGGCTTGAAAAGAATTGAAACTCCGATTACATGTCTTGCACTCATAAACATAAAACCCTGTTTTTGTACGGTCGTGAAGAGCTTGCCTCGGCCGGCGATGGCCGTCTCCTTGAGCCAAAAGAATCAAACAATTCGCCATATCCTCCTCCTCCTCAGTACTAATTTCACCGGAGACAGAGGAAGAAGCGGCGGGAAATTCCTCTCCGCCGCCTCCACCGCCGCAAGAGGAGGAGGAAGTCACCTCAAAACCACCACAAATAAGGCGCATACGCTTGTGCCGGCGACCTTTAACAGCAACCACATGAATCTGATCATTAGATCCCATAAACTCATCTGGGGTTTCCATGAAAGCAATCAAAATCTAAACTTTTGCAAGTTTTGAGTGAGAAAAGTAAGAGAGAGAGAGAAGTGAGGAGTGAGAGAGTGGGAAATGGAGTAATATATATATATATATATATATATTAGTAACGAAGGGTTGAAAGCCGCCCACTCGTGAGACCAGAAGTGTAAGAGTGGCCTTTTTATTATTTTTTTTAATTTTATTTTTATTTTTAATTTTATTTTGTAATTAATTAACTAATTAAATTTATTATTATTTCTGCTTGAAGTGTCAACCTTGAATTAGGAAGAAACAAGAAAAGCTAGTTGTCTTGCTTCCAAGGGGTCTGTGTTCTTAATTTCTGCTTTCTCACGCCCTTTCTATGCTCCACCTCATCATTTTTTTTAAAATTATTATTTTAATTTTTTATTTTTAATAAAAGAAAACGACAAAATCATGCCTATTTCACTCTACTCTTTTAAAGAAAAAAACCCACCATTTAAAGTCTCATTAATAATTTTCAATATATATATATATATACAAATATTATTTGATTATTTTTTTATTTTTTGAATTACTAATTATCTTAATAAAATACATCATTGAAGTCAAATATTTATTATTAGTTCTGAGTAGTGCAGTGTCAATAATAAGGTAATATTAATTCATCAATTAATAATAAAAGGAAAAAAAGGAAGGAAAAAAATAGATTAATTAATTAATTAGTGATTTGATTCAATATTCGATACCTGGAAAAATAATAGAGAAGGTGGGTTTATTGTTTGTTGTAGTGAATTTAATAATAAAGAATGGCTTATAACATGTTCGGTTTTTTGGGCTTCCCAAAAGGCCTCATCCTCTCGAACAAAGCATGCACGCCTCCCCTTAATCGAGGCTCGACTCCTTTGGAGTCTTAGTCATTTTTTACTGCCTTCGTACCTTCGAGGAGGTTTGACTCCTTTTTTCTTTTTGGAGTCCTTTGTTCGACATTCGAGGATTTGTCAATCTAATGGCACGGCTAAGTTTAGGGCATGGCTCTGATACCATGTTAGACGAACACGACTCTCTACAATGGTATGATATTGTCCACTTTAAGCATAAACTCTCATGTCATTGTTTTGGGCTTCCCAAAAGGTCTCATCTCAATGGAGTTAGTATTCCTCACTTATAAATCCATGATCATTCTCTAAATTAGCCGATATGAGACTTTCATCATCCAACACTAGTTACACTAAAATATATGTTCCTCTTGAGATGGGAATAAGTCATTTTTTCCGAAAGAAAAAGGATTATATATATATATATATATTATTCAGTTATTGTTGGAGGGAAATGTCAAGTTGTTCATTGATTGGTTCCAACTGTTTTAACGTAAATGTTAGGGAGGACATACTTTTGTCACTAAACCAATCCTTGCAACTACCCACCCACTTCTCTCTCTTAATCAATAAAATTATTAAATTTCTCAATTTTTTAAATTACTCTTAAATATTTCATTAAATTATGGCTTGAATTGACGTAAATAGATTAATTTTTTTTTCTTTTTTACTTTCGGTTGAGAATGATAAATAAAATTATTTTTTATGTTCATTTGTAACGTATGTTTTAACTAATAAAAAAAGTTTACTATAAAAATATATATGTTTTAATTAATTGAATTATGTCTGTGTTAAATATAAATCTATAATATAAAGTTAACTCCTTTATCCAATTTAAATAAATGATATGTAATGAGCTAATATTTTTATCAATAATAATAATTAGGAATAATTGACATGTACTCATTTTTTAAGGTTCGAAGTTTAAATCTCTATACTCCACTTTGTTTTATAAAAAAGTACGTGATTATATTAATTTAATTTTGAAATATAAAGCGAAGATAAAACAGCTCAAGCCCACGTCCAGTGTATATTATCTGCTTTGGTCTGTTACATGTCATCAAGTTCTCACAATTTTAAAATGTGTCTACTAGAGAGAGGTTTCCACACTTTTAGAAGAAATGTTGTGTTTCCCTCTCCAATCGACGTGGGATCTCACAAAAAAGGTCCAACATTCTCGATGGCACACCGTCTGGTATTTGACTCTAATACCATTTATAATAGTCCAAGCCCACCCTATTAAAAATTGTATGTTTTGGCCCGTTACTTATCGTCGTCAATCTCACGATTTTAAAACGTATCTATTAAAGAGAGATTTCCATACCATTATAAGAAATGTTTCGTTCTCTTCTCTAACTGATGTGAGATCATCTGTATTAGAGAGAGAGGCAAATGAAAAGGGAGAGGGTGGGTGGGTAAGTTCTACCTTATTTTTGAAGCATGGATGGAGCCTTTGCTTACCTCTAAAAAAAAGACCAAATTTTGTAGAAAAGTCATACCCAATTTTGTAATCATGAACCCATATATTCACTTAACCAATCCAATAATGTAATCTTCTCACTAAGTGTGAGTATATATAAATAAAAATGCATTATCTTATCTTATAAGATACCCAAAGAAGGAGAGTATTGTGCAACCCACTTTCTCTCCTTCTAACTACCTCTCAACTACTACTAAACCCAAACTAACCCTCTTTTAGGTTAGGGCGCCATTTGGAGTCTTGCTGGTTTAGTTCTAGAACATTCTCGATAGCTACAATAGAGAGCTGAAGACGAACAGACGATTGCAAGATGAGTACTAAACTATCAACGTTTGGAATAGTAAATTAGTGTATTATCTGTTGAACTATGCTCAAATTGATATCTTCAAAATACTCGTATCGATGTAGGTGGTCATATTCATGAGTTTGAGAAGTAGATTGAGGGCAGTTGCAACAAATCTGAAGAAGTATATTGATATTGAATCACTCCCTATGTCAATATTTTAATTTTTTATATTTGATCTCGACTATATTTTAAATATCATATACTTATTTATATAAATTAATAATGATTTATGTTGTTATTTTTATTATTATAAATCAAGTTTGATCATATTTCGTGCAAGAAAATGACTGAAAGCCAAACGGAAGCCTAAACTTAGGTCTTTGGTTGTCATTGATCAGTTCGTGAATCAAACTCCACGTCTCCTCCTGAACTGCAACCTCAACCACATATTATGATGAACTAACCATTTCACTAAAACACTCAATTTGGTGTTCATTGAAACTGATGGTTGTTTTCTACACGACACCTAACCGAATACGTACACAATCCGATGAACCAAGACATCAATCATGTAATATAAACTTCAAGAAAGATGCAAAGAAACTCTTGTTAAAATTATCACAAAATGTCATAGTTCATGTCAGGTTAAGAAAGAATCAAAAGATTTTTATTTATTTTAAGGTTACATAAAGTATGTTATACTGGTAGAGGAGACTTGAAAAATGTAGTAAAAAGAACATTTGTATTTTCTTTTAGTCAATGACTAAGTTTCTTTATAATTCGACGTAGTTTAAGTTGTATGTTTAGAATCATTCAAATGTAATGTGATCGATCTTGTTTGTGGAATGATTCGAATCTCAAACAAATGTCTTTATTTTGAAATATTTGATCAATAAAATAATATAAAATTTATGTCGACAGGTCGACATTTGGTTCGATGCTTTGATATGTTGATGAAGGGACATGAGTGGTTGCCTAATTAGGATGAGGTTGCTTAAATTATTATGATTTTGTTTTTCTTGTAATGTAAGTGGGAATTTAGGTTGTTTGGTAGCTTAGGTTATGGTTTTGTTTGGCTTTTCCAACAAGAATGACATGGCATTCAAAAGTGTCTTCCACGTGTCTCATCCACAATAGTGGATTGCTACCTTCACATGTTGGATGAAGTTGGAGCCAAGTACTTGGAACCCACATGAAATTGAAATGCAAGTGGATCCATGAACCAAGGTGTAAGGAAGATTGTCAATATCATATCTCTCACGTCTCCAAAGTCGACAAATCTTAGATCAGACAGTAGGACCGACACCTTGATACTATCTGTAATAGTTTAAAGTCGTGTTAGTAGTTATTGTATATTAGGAAAAAGTTTTCATACTCTTATAAGAAATATTTCGTTCACTCGTGCGATCGATGTGAGATTTCACAATTTATTCATCTTGGAGGTCCAATATCCTCGATGACACATTGTTTGGTGTCTAACTCAATGTAGAATCTCACAATCCACCCCTTCTTGGAAGTCCATCGTCCTCGCTACCACATCATTCAGTGTCTAACTCTGATACCATCTGTAACAGTTTAAACCCACCGCTACATTGTCCACTTTAGCTCGTTACGTATCGGCGTCAGTCTCACAGATTTTAAATACGTCTACCAAGGAGAGGTTTCGATACCCTTATAAGAAATGTTTCGCTTCACTCTCCAACCGTGAGATCTCACAGTATCGTTGGTAGCCTCATAGTTTTAAAATGTGTCTATTAGGGAGAGGTTTTCACACATTCATAAGGAATGTTTTGTTTCTCTCTCCCACCGATGTGAAATCTTAAGTGTATTACTTAGGCACTCGAGATCAACAGTTTGTTATCCATGAACTAGGGTGATGCCTTATGCAGAGCTCCTTTAACATGATATACCCCTTTCCACGTTGCTAGCTTCTATTCGAAAGAAAAATGTCATGCCAGCTTATCAGAACAATAGCCAGCGCATAGACTTTTAGATCACGCGTCTACCTACACGAAGGGTGTGTTGATTGAAATAAGCTGTTCAGTTTATAACAAACTTGTACAAGAAAACCATATGGTTCCTATGCATAGCTGAGTACTTGAATTAAAACATACTTGTTCACTCAGCTGCCCTACATAGTGATGCAAGCGTCGTTATTAACCATGTCTTGGATCCGACACCTAATGGTCCTGTCATTTTCCTACGATATGATTCGTTACCTACTCCTCGCTTCTTAAAAATGAAGGCTATAACACTTAATGTCCTTGTTATTTCACTGAGACATAGTTCATTACCTACTCCTCGCTTCTTTAAAGTGAAAGGTTATTCCCACAAATCAACCCAAGCCTTTTCCCGAATAGTTTGTCCTCACTCACATGTATCTCAAGAAAATACCTGAGAGATTACCCAAAATAGAATTGGAGGACAACTGGATTGTGACATGGTTCCTAACCTATTCCTCCCTTCTTGAATGAAAGCTATCATCACTGACCAACACAAGTCTTTCCATAAATGTTTTATCCCCACTTACATGCATCTCAAAAAAATTCTAAGTTAAACCAACATAGAATTATTCTAAACAAAGCACGTTTAACCAATCACAAAAATTTTCATTCCATTTGTATATCTAAAAGGTTTAAATTCTTCATTGTAATCTCAAATGTCTCTGTTGATCCTTGAAATTACTATTTGGTCCCTGGGAAAGGTCTTTTTTGCTGCAGCGAGGAGGCGGGAAAAAGTTCATGAATGAACTGAAAACTGCTCTCTAGATGAATTGGTGAAGTCCATGAATGAGAGAAGTTAACCACTGGAACAGTTTTCAGTTGCATCGGAAGCTCAATTTTTCTCTCATTCATGGACTTACCTAATTCATCCTCTGACCAAGAAATCCTCCGGCCGCCACCATTATCAATACTCACTTCCTCTTCAGCCTCACAAACGCCGCCGCTCCCTCCTCATTCTGCCTCACCGTATCCCCCTACTTCCTTTTCTCCTTCATCGCCGTCGCGGCCGCAATCCGTTCCTTGCCTTTCCAACAACGTCGTCGTCGTCGGTTTCATTGGGAGGAGACCTAATAATTCGATTCAACTCATCAATCGGGTTAGCGATTACAATGTTTTTGGATCCGGTAAATTGGATACAAAATTGGTTGTCGAGAAAAAGGAAGTTGAACAATGGTTCAAGCGGCGACGAATTAGTTACTACCACGAGGAGGAAAGGGGGATTATGTTTTTGCAGTTTTCTTCCCACAGAGTCTCCGTGTTCGAGGCGAAAACCGATTATGATGCGGAGGTTCAAGAACATGAGTTTGGTGATCTTCAGGGAATGCTTTTTATGTTCTCTGTAAGTGCTCGTCGATTTCTCATTTCTTTTAATTTCTTTTGTATCTGTTCATGTTCGGACGCCTGCGTTCATCAATTAACTCAACCTGTATAATCTGTTGTGGAAAATTGGTTGTTCTCGTGATATGATCTCTCAACATTAGTTGAAATTGTCGTGAATTGTTGGGAGGGAGTTCCATCTTGATTAATTTAGGGAATAATCAGTAAGGAATACATCTCTATTGGTAGAGACATTTTGAGGAAGCCCAAAATAAAACCATAAGAGTTTATGTTCAAAATGGACAATGTCGTACCATTGTGGAGAGTCGTGATTCTTAACACGGTATCAAAGTCATGCCCTTAACTTATTCATGTCAATAGAATTCTCAAATGTTGAACAAAGAAGTTGTGAGCCTCAAAGATTCAAAAGTGACTCAAGTGTCGAACAAAGTACAAGTACTTTAGAGAAGGAGTTGAGCCTCGATTAAGGGAAGGCGGTTCGATGGCTCCTTAGACCTTAGGGGAGGTGCTCTATAGTTTACTTTATTCGAGGAGAGGGAATGATAATGGATTTATAGGTAAGGAATACATCTTCACTAGTACGAGGCCTCTTGGGGAAGTCCAAAGAAAAGCCACTAGAGCTTATGCTCAAAGTGGACAATTTTGTACCATTGTGGAGAGTCGTGATTCTTAACCGAAATCGATTACTAATGCAGGTTTGTCATATAATCATATATATTCAGGAGGGGTCGTGGTTTGATACTAATGTTTTGAAAAAATTAAGAACATTATAGTCTGCTAAGTATGCATTGGTAAAATCTCGACCTAAACCACCATTGCCGTCTAGGCTGCGTTCTTTATCTGCTTCATATTCCTCATTGTTTCCTGGACCGTGTACACCAGTGATACTCTTTATTTTCATTGATGACTTCTCAGATGGTCCCATGACTAATTTCAGCAAGAAATTGCAGTCATCTCTTGAAGCACAAATTCGCTTTCTAATCAAGAATTTTTGGAGGCTTAATGGTTCTAGAGGTGGAAGGGCCTCAAGTTATGCATTTTTGTTTTCACTTGATGCATTAAAAGCTGTTGTTCTTGTGGACAGGTCTGCAAATAGAACAGCTGAATCTCTAGAGTTTGTCATTAGCCTTATGGAAGATGTTTCCAAAGGACAAGCTATTTCAGATTCTCTTCTGCTTGAAAGCCATGGTGAAAGTGCTAGCGAAGAGGATTTAGTGTCTCTAAAGGAGTTTATTTCTCGGCAGGCTGACATTCTAAGGGGTGGAGCCTTTACTACTCATGAACTTCCAAGTATGGAGATTTGGTTATCTTCAAGCAAACGAATTCTCCAGGGGATTCTCTCTGCAAAATGTGGTTGCATAGATATACTGGAAACCAGAAAACGAAAACCACATTGTCAGTACGTTCCTTCGGCATCGATCGAGAGAAATGCTTTAGGTATCGCCGTATCTAGGTTTTCAACTTCATGGTGTGAAAGAGTATTACCAGGTGCTAAGGAGGTTTATCTAAGAGATTTACCTGCATACTACTTCAAATCACAGCATGAAGCTCACATGGAGAAGGCTGTGCTTGCTTTACATTTAATGGTCAAGGGGCCTGCGGTGCAACATTTTGCAGAAAGGTTGAAGGAAGAATGCAAATCCATTTGGATATCAGGGAGGCAGCTATGTGATGCTGTTAGTCTGACTGGAAAACCATATCTGCATCAGAGACATAGCTCGGAGGATCATTCAAGTGGATATGTTTTCCGACATGCTTGTGGTTGTGGCCATTCACGGCGACTATGAACCGACCCTTTTGATTTTGAATCGGCGAATGTTACTTTCAATCGTTTTGCTGGCTGTGACAATTTTCTTGCAGTTGTCCAGTTACCAAGAGTAAGCATAACAGGACATATTCAGTTATCATCATGGACTTTGATTCGAGTTGGTGGTGCAAAGTACTATGAAGCTTCAAAAGGTTTGCTTCAGAGTGGATTTTATCCTACTCAAAAGGTTCTTATCCAAATGGAAAATTAGTGCACAAATGAGGGAGAGTCCAATAGATTTTAGCATGAATGCCCTCATGGGCACTGTTTCTATTGGCTTTGAGCATGAATGCCCTCATGGGCATTGTTTCCTACTGAATCCTGATCATCTTAAAGAGCTTGGATCGTCTTATGCTGCATGCAATGTGGCTGATCCTCTCAAATTTGGTAAAAGTGGTCGTCATGGTAAAGCTCGTGATAGTATTAATGCAGCAAATGCCACCATTATGCATTTCTAATTATCTTAGTCGAGATGGAAAAGATTTTTCTATCATCCCGTGAGATCCCACATCGGTTGGAGAGAGGAAGGAGTGCCAGCAAAGACGCTGGGCCTCGAAAAGAAGTGGATTCTGAGATCGCATATCGATTGGAGAGGAGATCAAGGCATTTTTTATAAGGGTGTGAAACCTCACTAGCAGATGCGTTTTTAAATTTTGTAGGGAAGTCCGAAAGGAAAAGTTGAAAGATAACAATATCCGCTAAGTGCACCTAATATCATTCACTGATCTTCTACTTGTAGGAGTTGGGCTTGCCCCCATTCTGTTCCTGGACGGCAGCAGAAACTGCAGTTCACATTTGGATGTCAAGTGGTGTTGCCTCCCGAGAGCTTCCTGACACTTAGGCTTCCATTTGTTTATGGTATGCAACTTGAGGATGGAAGTCTTCACCCTCTTAACCCTCTCCAACATCAACCTGAAGCGACTGCATGGATAATTGGGGGTACAACGTTAGAGATCCTGTCAAAGCCTGGCTGTCTGGATCAGGGATCTCAAACATAATCAAAGTCTTAAACACTGGAAACTTGATCTGTCTGATCTGCAGCAGCCAGTCCAGGCAGCCCTGTTCCTCCAAAACTCATGGTAGTATCTGCGAGTCCAAATTAAACAAAACAAGTCGGAATATGTTCTTATGAAGTGTTCTCATTTAGTTCTTAAATGTTTCGTATTAGTTTGTTACAACTGATATTTGCTTGTATAGATTACTGTTTTTGTTTGTAGTTTGGAATTGGGAAATGAAGATTTGTGGAGCTTTTAGCTCAAATTGGATATTGGATTAGTTTATGTGGTACATATATAACTTCAAAGATTTGGTGAAATTTAATCTCCAAGAATTCAAAATTCAAATGGCTTTACAATACAAAGTTGCTGATTAAAATAATTACAATCTCTGTATTGGTTTAAAGGGTTAAACTGAAAAGGAAGAAGAAAAATAGAGAGATTAAGATGTGATTAGAACTCAAATCCATGGTTAAGAAGTGCCCCCGTAAGCCAAAGCTTCAGATTTGGCAAGTTCATGTCCATCTCACAATTTCTCACCTGCAAAAAACAGATTACAATGGCATAGCATGAGCCATTGGGAAGCAACCAAAAAGTTAATCTCAAGAGAATCAGATTGGATGTAAGAAAGTAATTACATTAATGGTAGCTGTGAGAATGAATCTGTCAGAAGCAGAGGCCAAATTGGAGCTTTGAATACTGAAGCTGGTGAGGGATTCAAGAACCTTGTAAAGAGACATGGCTACTCTTTCACCCATTTTGCAGACCAGCCTCAAATAAAACCCTCTTTCCTCCACTTGAAACACATCCAGCTTTCAAAGAAGAAGAAAAAAAAACACCCCAAATTGCACATTATTAACACAGCTTAGCTTCACAATTTCATCACAGACCAGAGCATGAAGTTTTATCTGATCTTACAACTTGAAATGTACCTGAATTATTTTGCAGGGAAGGAATTGGCCAGAATGTGAAGTTTGAACAATATTCTTGTGGTTTTGACCTCGATAACTCGTTTGTGTTTCGTTGATTGAGGATTCCAAAACTGATATCTCCGCTTTCAGCTTCTTCGCCTGCACTTGTAGCTCTTTCACGTACAGCACTGCGTCCCCAACAATGGAAGCCTTGTCCATCTGCATTTTTCCACATCATGAATTCGGCCTTTTACCATTTCATTCAAAAAAACATCAGAAGAATTTGTTGTTCTTGAATGATTTTGAGATTTTAACGATTTCAAAATTATCCACGGTTTGAATTTAGAATTGAACATGTTTGATTTTAACTATTTTAAAATTGCTAGCCGACCTAACCTACAAGACCTAACATAGAATTACGAATGTGAGTATCAATTTCTCATACCTTAGTTATATTTGGAACCAATGAACGCAATGCATAAAGCTTTTCCTTCATCCTTCCTCTTCTCCTACGCTCGGAAATCAAAGTTCTGGATCGATCGACCTTCGATTTCTTCGACGTTGTGACAGAAGAGTTCTCAACAGAAGCATCGTCTTCGTCTTCATCTTCGGTTTCAACTTCTTTCATGATGCTATTGAAACTCTCCAATGAACTAAACAAAGAATTAGGATCAGAATTCATGACGATATTGGAATCTAGAATGTATTCCGCGCTAGGATCGAGGCGATTGTCGACATTCATAAAATCAAGGTCGAGGTTATCAAATATCGGATTCTCGCTCCCTCCACGAATCAGATTTACATATTGATCGAAGTTGTCGCCATGGATTAAATCTTGAAGCTCAAACTCATTGATGTTCATCATCAAATGCTTCCCGACGTGCTCCATGTCAAACGTTACAGTACTTTGAATCAGGCAATTGATTGATGGATTAAGATAAAGTGATTAATCGGTTTAACTTATAAACAGAGGAAATGAAGGAATCAGTGTGAAAAAAACAATTGATTAAATGGACGAAACATGACATGTGATGCTTAAACCCCAAAAACATGAATTTTAAATTTTCAAAAATTATTTAAATAATCTTCGTTAAATAAATATTGACATCTTCCAAATTTTTAAATATTAAACGATATAATAAATATAAAATTAAAGAATATGTCTCCCACAATTTATAAATTAAAAAAAAAATGTTTAAAGTTTTCGCATAAAATTGAAACTGTCTAGATATATACAATTTTAAAATTTCATAAAATTGAAAAGTAATTTAATTATTAAAAAAAAAAAAAACTCATAATATTTATTTTTAAAACTAAATTAATAAAAAATATATCTTAAAATTTAATTTAAAGGGTATTTTTCAAACGCTATTAAAAATTTTAAAAATTTTAAAGAGATATTTTTAATTTTTATTAATTTAATAGTAAAAGAAAAGGTAATAATACATGAACTTTTTCCAGCCAATCATATAAATCTGTACTGATGAGTTGATTAGCAATAATTAATCTTAATTAACTGATTGGATCTATAATGACATAAGGTTAAATGCATATCAACTCCTTTTCATCTTCAAAAATATATACTTAATTAAGTTGTTAACTAAATGTCAACTTAGCTTTAGTCATTTCGCTTCTCTAAATGGATGGTTAATTAATTAATTAATTATGCGATTAATTATTTAATTGTTGCCGTTTTTAAAAAAATATCAAATCATACAATAATTATATAATTGGTGTGATTTGTTCTTGGGGAGGCCTAATCTGAGGGAGGGATGACTTTCGTTGGTTATTTAATTTTTTTAATTAATATGAATTTATCAAGTCTAAATCTATTTACAAATATTTAAATTATAAAATATTATATTTTAAGAATATTCGTGGTATATTTTTACAACGTAAAGATTATATATTTTTATGGATGATATAAGAAGAATATGATCAAAATAATTGTTGTAATTATAAAATTTTATTTACTAAATTATGATAATAAAAATGATTAAATGCCACCTGTCATTTTTTAGTTTTGACTTGGGGAGAATCTTCAACGGAAACGGAAGAAACGGTATGGGTTTCATCATGCACGGCATGATTGTGGGCTTTTATTGGCTGTCGGCCCATAAAATTTTCGGCACGCAGCCATTCTTTTTTATTTTATTTTATTTTTGTAATAATAAATTTGTATGAAAATGTTTAAGCTTGTTTTGTGAGTTTAATTATATATTGATTTAACTTAATTAATTGTGTTCGACACAAGACTCCCACGTGGAAGTACCATTTTCGACGGACGTCTCCACGTGCCATAAACCAATGAGGCGTTGCCAAGTCGCTGAGTCATCACTTTAATTCATTCTTAATCGCCCACCACCTTCCGCCTACGTGTGATTAGTCGTTTTGATTGTTTATTAATTGGGCCGTTTATTGGGCCATATACACGTACAGTCCACTGGGCCCAAATGAATTATAGTCCGGCCCAGTCCAGATGAGGAGCCTGCTTTTGAGGCCCATGTCGACCCTTTTGGATTCACCTTCACGTGTGCATTTTGCTCTTTTGGATGTTGATGGGATTTGAAAAGCCACTCATGAGCCCATAACCCATACAGTAAGCGCGACCTTTCGGTTGCGTGCTCCCATTTAAACACGAGCATAAATTTATTAGACATAAATTAAAAAGTTTAAAAGTTTAGTTTATTAATTTGTTTGTTTGTTTATTTAACAGGATTTAATTTGTCTATAATTAATTTTGGAAAAATTTAAAGCTGAATTTGAATATGACTTAATTTGGAGTTATTAAGTTACAAGGCAGAAACCTAGTCAGCAATTAGTCAGATTCCTATCCAAATAACGTTCTTTCAGATACCAACAACTTTGCCGCGCGTTTCAACGGCCGACACCTGTTTCTCTAAATCCACCGATGATTTCCCCACTCGCTTCCCCGCCGTGCGTGGTTTTCACGCGAAACTTAAACCGGCTGTGTGACTCAAACCCCCGGTTTTTCAATTGAGTGGCGCGTGGAGAGTTTACGCTTCGTGGCGAGCGAAATCCCCCAAGTGCGCTTTCTGACAGTTGAAGCCTCGTTTTCATCGACTCGGTACGTCGATTGGCGCGTGGTACATTACGCTTCCTACTGCGAAATCCCCAAAACGCCCTTACTGACAGTTTAAACCCCACTTGAAATTCTCTCACTGTGTGCAGATCTCTGTAACGAAAGGATTTTTTTTCTGAGTGCTGTTTGTTCTTGCTCGTTTTCCATTTCAATGGAGATTCATTTTCAGGCTTCGTTATCTTCGCGTTCATCATCTGAATCTGAAATTTCTGCTTCCGATAATACAGATGCTGCGGATCGTGAATCTGGGAATTTCGGGTATGAATCTGCTCTGCTAAACTTCTGTTCTGTAAATGTCGATCTGCGTTTCGTTTTCGCTTTGGATTTTGTATCTCGTTCCTTAACTATCGATTGTTCTGGTCTAGGTGCTCGCATTATCGAAGGAGATGCAAAATTAGAGCGCCCTGTTGCGATGAGATCTTTGATTGTAGGCATTGTCACAATGAAGCGAAGGTTGAAATTCTATTAAACTGTTTCCTGTTTCAGCCTTTTTCTTTTTTTTTTTTTTTTTGTAATTGATTTTGGTGTTAAGGCTTTTTTTCCATCTTCTTGCTTCGATCAGAACTCCCTTGAATTGGAAACTCTTGACCCACATGACGTTCCTCGCCATCAAGTTCAGAAGGTTTGCATTCTTCTAATTTTGTGTTCCAGAAAAGTTTTTGTTACATTGTGTTTGTTTCATTACAAATTTGTGGAAACATTTGAATTTGTAGCTAATATTTTCAAAACTTGGAAGTACACAACAAACACAAAGAAACTCATATAAGGAAATTAGTGTTCATAAGCTTGATTTTAGAAACAAAAAATCAAATAACGACCCCTTAAGTTCCTCTCTTTCTTCTTTTCTGATGAACTGGTAATTTTGAAGGAAACAGTGGACTTCCAGACCTGTTCTAGATTTGATTGCTTTGAAATTTTAAATGATACGATCTGCAGTAGATGATATACTATAGCTCCTTAATCAATCTGAATTGGGGTAACTTGAAAAGGCGACTTTTATTTCGGTGGGTGGAGGTTTTTCTTTTTTTAGCATTATTGGACTTTACGAAAAGCTTGAACAGGACTTAACGAAGATGGTATTTCCATAAAACCTCGGCTTAACTCTGAAGCAAACCTGATGCTTTTATTTAATCAAAAAAGCACAACTATAAAGTTTCACCAGTTGTGCATGGTGCCTTTATGAGTCTTTGTTCCTTTTTTATAAACTCAAAAAGTAATCCATTTTAATATTGTTTAAGCTAGTTTGGACTACTTGAAGAAAGTGTTGAA